TGAAAAAATGCAACCCCACAGCATGATACTGTTACCGCCATGTTTTATCAAGGAGACAATGTGTTCCAGATAATGAATAACAATGGTTTTCCATCAAACATAGGTTTGTTTTGTAGGCTAAAATGTTCAATTTGGGTCTCACCTGACCAGAGATCCTTCTTCCACATGTTTTCTGTGCCTGTACTATAACTTCTGTCAAAATGGATTCGTTTTGGCTTCATGTTTTTCTTTTTACCTGCTTCTATGTTGAACCAGTCAGTTAGCAGATGTGTGTTTTAAGGAACAACAAACTAATCTCTTTCTTAGTTTTATCATGCAAGTTTTCAAAATTGGGTTAAAATACTTTGTAAGGATCCAAAACAATTTGTTGTTCTAGATAACTGAGCCAACAGCTGGAATATTTACTAATAAAAGCCCCACAATAAAATTGTGTTAACAGCTGGCATGCGATTATTAACATGAAGATGAATGGCGCCATCTTTACTGCATTAATCATCGTTCTGGTGTATTCCTGGTAGTGTTTGCTTAAATCTGAGACCATATTACAGTGATGCAGGAATAAAACTAGCCTGAGGAGGCACAGATTGCTGCTAGTTAGGTACAGTTGTAAAACAAGTCCCATCAAAGCTCATTTAAATGACACACTGTAATAAAAAATTTACTGGAAGGCTCATTGAATTAGTAAGAGTAAAACAAAACAAAACAAAACAAAACAAAAAAAAGATCCAGTGCTCTGTATCCTGCCCCCTTGTTACACTTTGGCAGCTCACACTCTTTCGCTGACCTGAGATCAGAGGCCGGCGGCCCGCTGAGAGTTAGTGCAGTAGAAAAAGAAGAAAAGGGTGCTTGTCTGGTTTCATTAGCGATCCGAGCTGCTGCAGCAGAACCACTCAGCCGAGGCGGACTGGAGGAGAGCCCCGATAAGACAGCGGTGCATTCAGGTGCTGTCGGGGCTGGTTCAGACCAAACGCACACAGGACGGAGCTGAATGAGTTGCTGTTGACAGATTCAGCCTGTCATCACTTGCAGTTTCTAGAATGCACCAGATTAATAATGGAGTGATCTTACTTTTCTAGGCTATTTTAAAGACTGTTTGCAGATATGCTGTGTAAAACATTTTTTTTTGTCTTCACAGGGAGATTTTTTATTTCACTGCCCTTCATTTGAAGAATATGCGAGTTCCTCTGTCTGTTGCAATACATTGCAACACATTTGTTGTAAGTTAACTTAAGAAACGCAGAGTTCTGATCCTTGTTCTATCTGCAGTCTTTGTGTGTTTTTGTTAAAAAGTGTGACTTTCCTATTCGTAGTATCTTTAACAATAAATATTCATTTACAGTGTGCATAAAACGCCTTTAAAAGCAGTTTTGCTCATGTTAAAGAAACAGCTTTGTGATATGGGGTTCTGTTGAGGAGTTATGACTCGTCAATATTTGAGTTCATATTAAAAATATTTAGCATTTTTAATTAGATATTTTGCACACCTGCAAAGATAAATAGGATGATGACCAATGATCAGTTAGTGAGTAAATAAATGAATGAATAAATATACTTGATTAAATGATTGTTGCAGAAAAATATGGTTGGCTTTGGCTAGCTGCCCATGAGGGAATGCCCAGGGATTCCAGTGAACACATACATTTTTATGACATAAATACTTACCGTACTACATACCAAGTAGATTTTCTGTAGCTTATTCTGCAGTCATTTATACACCAGTTAAAAACAAATAATTCAGGAACAAATAAGATCAGATGAAAGCTTGAAAGTAGCATGAAAAGCTGAATGGAAATAAGTAATGTTTGGGTCATTGACACATAAGCAGGGATAATATTATATTACTTTATTTATCTTTTGTACAATGTAATTACAATACAAATATGTTGGTTTAAATACAAAAACTTCTGTAAATAAAGATTAAAAATAAACTCCACTGGTTCGCTTTGTTACCATCACTAAGCTAAGGTTTTACAATCAAGTTGATGAGGTCATTTAGTTTGCTTTGACGGAGAACACAATTAGCCTACATTTATAATTTGGAGGGCGTGCAAACAAGAGTCAAGGGTCAAAAATGGTCTCTGAGTGGACTAAAAGCATCTACTTTATGGACCAATCAATCAACCAATCAGATTGGCTTAATAAAGAAAGGAAGGTAGAGAAAGCAGTTTGCTCAGATTGGAAGAAATATTGATTTAAACCAAATTGGCCGAAGCCTGGGAGGAGATAAAATGGTACAAATTAGGTCAGTCGCCTATAAATTTGGATGATGGAAAAAGTCAGGCCGTCAGCCGCAGGAAGAGAGTCGTTAAGTTCATTAAAACAAGGAGCAGATCATGTTAAAAGTGGCAGTCCGTATTCATGGAGTGAAGCAGGAGCATCTCTGATCGGATCATAGCTTGTAGAAGAGAGAAACCACCTGCAGAAAGCCCTTTGATTATAAACATTTCTGCTTTTTATTTAATGCTGGATCTTCTCAGTGGGACCCAACCTTACCACACTCAAAGCGTTACCTACTTGGTCGAAGTTCGAACTGCATCACGAGTTGCACAGTTTGAAAAATTAAAAAGGAACATTTATGACATTGCAGTCAGACAGCTGACATTTTGTTTTAAACTGATCAGAGAGGTGGCTCCACAGTGTTTGAAGCTGCAGAGTGTAAAGACACCAGAGACGCTGTTTGTGTTGTGGACGTAATGATGAGTATGTCTTAGCTCTGAACCAAAACTGCCTCTTGCTTTTACATCCTACTCAACCTGTTTTATCTGCGTTTCTTCCATCAGACTTCCTTTTCCTTACTCCCTAAAGGTGCGACTCTGTTTCCTCTCCCTCAGTTTCTCACATACAGCTCGTTCTCCATGGCAGCAACATGTGCAGTTGTCCCTGTTTATGAGTCAGCTGAAACTTTGATTTACATTCACTCAACATGATTATTTCCCGAGTCCCAAGCTCTCTGTTCACCCTGAAATCTGTTCAACAATACCTTGCAAAAGTATTTAAACCCCTTTGAACTTTTCCACATTGCGTGCCATTCTATCCAGACATCAGTGCATTTTATTGGGATTTTATGTGATATGCCAAACAAAGCAGTACATATTTATTAAAGATAATGGCTAAGATCAAAGCCTATTTGTGGGCTAGAATGTCCTAGTCAAAGTCCAGATCGAAATTCACTTGAGAAGGATGAGAAGCACTCTTTTAAAGAGGTGGTATTCTGTATTTTTTCCAGGTACATCGTGCCATTTTATAGCACATTCAAGTAATTCTGTTAGAAAAATGACATACAGGTCTGGAAAAAAATGAAGAGCCCACTGCAGTGAACCCCGTTGAAAACCTCCTGGTTATTCCACCAAATATTGATTTCTGAACTCCTCCTGAGTTAAAACATTATCGTTGTTGTTTCTAAATGAATATGAACTTGTTTTCATTGCATTATTAGAGGTCGGAAAGCACTGCATCTTTTCATTATTTTGAACATTTCTCATTTTTTGCAAATAAACACTAAATTTTTGCTTGGAATTTGGGAGACATTGTCAGTAGTCATAGAATAAATGAACAATGTTCATTTTACTTAAACATATACTAATAAAGAGTAAAACCAGAGAAACTGATTATTTTAAGAGTTTTTTTTGTTTGTTTGTTTTTCCAGAGCTGTAAATATAATAAAATAACTTTTAAAATAATTTAACTTCACAATTTGGCGCTTTGAAATTGTGCTCCTACTCTTTCACTTTCTTTTCAGGATGTCGTCTCAACAATGCTCCTCTATTCCACCGTAAACAGCTGTTCTTAGGAGAGTCGGACTGAGTAGTTTGTACGATGAGCTCACCAGACAGAAAGTTCCACCAGGTAGTTGATAATTGCTGCTGCCACTAGTTTAGAGGAGCTGAGTGGGACGTTTAGGCATCTAGGCAACCAAGAATGGCTGCCACAGGAGATCCAAGGATTTCTTAAACATGCATGGAAGAATCAGAGCAACTCTCCAGCTGTGTTTCTGACTCAGAAGTAACATTATAACATGATATAAAGCTCAAAAAAAGCAAAATTTTACATAATACTGCTGTTTTGTAATTTTTTATGATATTTTGATGAAATTTCCTACTTGGAATCTGCACTACTTTGTTTCGGTCCATCACATGCAACATGGCAAAAAAGTTCATGGGGGTGGGAATACTTTTGCAGCGCACTGTGAGTGTAGCACTACCATGATACGCAAAGAGGTGCGTACACAATCATTATTGTACATGAGGAGCGTATACCCTGTCAGCAGACATATGAGGATTTGTGAAATCTGGAATGCAGTGCATTGTTTCTCCATAGTTGCACAGTGAGGAGGAGCATTTTTCTTTTTTTCCACTGAGTTGTTAAAGTTCCTTGGGTTTGTTTGGTGAAGACAGACTGCTTGTGTGCTCTACTGTATGTGCTGGTTATCCTGAAGTGTCTCATGCCCTTGTTGTTAGGCGATTATAAAAGTAACAAGCTACACATCCAAGTGACACCGTTTTGATTTATCAGGCCTCAGCAGCAGTGAGGTGGAAGAAGCATGCGGCTATATACACCAGTCTGACTCATCCCAGTACGCAGCTGTAGTGGAAGTTGTGGTTATTTGGTTCCTGCTATATGATCAGGATTCCCACAGTGCTTTCCTTTCTCTGCTGTCATAAATCAAACACGTTGGGATAAATAACATAAACATGCTTCTGAAACTCGGCTTCAACTTACGGGTTTCAAGGTACATAAAACATGTTAAACTCAGAATACAATAAATAAAGCAATTTTGGCCATAAATCTGTACTAGTGGTCAGTAAGTCGTTTGGACTCTTCCTTCCAGACTTCTGCCCCACTCGGCTGAGATCAGCATCGGTGTGTTACTTGAATCTTCTACACCTTCGTCCACGATGTTGCCAGACACCATAAAACCGCCATGATAAAAAAATATAACAAGCAAACGTCCAAAAATATCTTTTTGGGTTGGAATGCATCCAAGTTGAGTCCTCTTTCAAAAAAAAAAAAAGAAACCACTGAGCCGCGTCCTCCCCACAGTGCTTTGAGTAGGACGAACATGCAGTAAATCTAGGGACTTGCAGCAGGGAAAACAAAGCCAGAGTGGAGAAGCGATAGCAGGAAGGAGAGAATGTTGACGGTTGGACTGAATGGATTCAGTTTGTGAAGTTCAGACAGCTGGAAACCTGATTCTCTCAGACTGCAGCCCAGCCGACTGCTGAGTTTGTCTCTATCTCACATGGGATCATAAAGAAAGAAATTAAGATCGTAGTAGCACTGACTCCAAGGCTGCCACAGGCTGGATGCTAGGCCGTCTGAAAGGGCCTGTATACCAATTAAGCAAAAATTCCTGGAATAGCTTCCCGTCTTCCTCGGGCTTTAACCCCAGAGCAAGAACTACATCGTTAAGAGCCAGAGTCCAACTCAGAGCTCAATCTCAAAGGTTTTTTGCAGACTGTTGGAGAATGGGTTGGCTGTGGCAGCCGGTGCCTTGTTCCCTGTCGGTTGCGTCGCTCCTTTTGTCTCCAGTGCCGCCCACTTGGCTTCAAAACGATCATCATCTTGGGAGTCGCTAACCCCTGGAGCGGTTAGTTGGCTGCCCTCTGGAGGCCAGCTCTCTCCACTGCCACCACTGACCGAAGTCCCGTTCTGAAGGTTCATTGCGGCTGCAGTGCTGTGGGGTGGGAGGCCGTTAATGGATGACGACAGAGGTGGAGTGGAGGAAAACGTAGCTGCGTTAAACCCTGAGGGGTGTCCGGTTGTGCCGGCTGCTCCTGGATAGGAGTGGTGATGCCCGACAGTGCCCAAGGGCCCCACTTTGGACCCTCCAGCAGCTGAGCCCATGGTCGGACCTGTGCCTGATGAGCCTGTGGCAGTGCAAAAGGCATTGGCCACCATTTGTGATGGTGTGATGCCTACCACTGGCACGCTGGCATTGGGGTAAGTCATGCTGCTAGCCAGACCAGGCATGTAGGTCTGCATGGGCATGAAGGCAGGTTGGACCGGCTGGTTGGCAAACATCCCAACAGGGGCTGGAGTGGCATCAAAAGCAAGGGGGAATGGTTGCATTGCACTTGGAAGGGAGCCAGGGGGCCCGGGCAGAGAGCCCTGCATCATAGGGGCTCCGGACATGCTCGGGCCCGTCATAGTTGGGATGGACATGGACGGGAGAGACATTGGGGGGCCTGACACTGGAGGACCTGGTATTAGAGGAACAGATGATATTGACATGGGTGGGAGAGGCATTTGGGTTTGACATGGAAGGGCAGAAGGGCCAGAGATAAGAGATTTGGGCAAAGTACCGAGGGGCAACGGGACAGTAGATACTGGGGCAGAGGACAATGTCGCCTGTGTGGATATATGATGACTGGTTATGGAAGGGGGTCCAGGGATGGTGGGTATGATGGGCCCAGAGGGAGGCGTCTGCTGGGCTTTGACAGCCTTAGAGACCTCCTCCAGCCATCGCTCAGCCTCTGAGGGGGTGCGCTTGTGGCCGCTCTGCAGTGCAGCAGAAACCGGAGGAGGGGAGTGGAGAGAAGGTTCTGGCTGCACCCAGGATGAGGTGGCTGGAAACACACACAAAAAGAGCTTCAGACAGTGGGAACAATTCATCTACAGCTATCAATCTTCTGCATTCCTTCTTACCCTGGACAGGTGCAGGTGGAGGAGGCAAAATTGGGGGCACAGTGCAGGTCGGAGGGCAATTTGCAGACATAGATGGGTTGGAGAAGAGCTCGTCTGATGGCTTGGCGAAGGATGTGTTGATCTGGCAACACAGTGCATTTATACTACTGTCACCCTCACAAGGCAACCCCATGTCCATCTCTGGCACCGGCAGGAAAAGGATACATAGGAAGCAGAGAGAACAAAAGGAAAAACATGCAGATGAGACAAGAAGAAGCTTGAGAAATGAAACAAATACTTGGGTTAATGATTCATTTTGCATGTTCAGGGTTTAATAATTGTTGTTTACTAATGTAAAAAATATCAAAAGCACAAGATTTTTAATTGTGTATTTTCAAAACTGATCAGCTACAAATAAAAGCTATGAGGATTTTCAAATGTATTTACACAACTTGAACATTTTTTCCCATTTTGTCACATCCCAACCACAAATTTTATTGAAATTTTGTGTGATAGACCAGCACATAGTGATGCATTATGATAAAGTGTGTGTGGATACGGCTTTCGGCACATTTAATCTTTTAAGACAATTGCATTCAGCCCACCTTAGTCAGTACATTGTAAAAGCACTTTTTTGCTGCTGAAAATTCTAACCCCAGTTTAAAATCGTTCACAGCCTCCAACAAGTTTCACTTCAGAATTACTTAGAGGATGTAATTTGACGCATGCATTTGCATGAACTGTATATTATTTGTGCTTCCATTCCTCACCTACAGAATGTGTTTAAACAGTGAGAATTGTACAGCTGCAGGCCCTGGATTACAATGGAGAATACCAATGGGTATTGGCATCATATCTACCTTTCAGGTTTTCTTTTTGCTTTGTTTTGCATAAACCAAGGTTATGTAAGTCTTCATCCTGCAGAGTTCAGAGGCTCCTTTACACTTCACATGTATAGGGGTGGAGTAAGAGTGCATGTTTGTTTTGTTATACCCCTGGCAATAGGAGGTTTCTGACTGGCTAGTTTAGTTAGCTGACTGACTGTACAGATCAATACTTGATATGTTTGGAGCGTCACAAGGGAGCAAATAAGCAATGTAATTGTCTTCTACCATTTTTTTTAAAAGTCAGTTTCTTTATGTTCAGCAGGTCACATGTTACTGATGTCAAGGTTAGGAGGAGACTCTACAGGTAGGCTTGGTAGAGCATTATTGCCTCGATGTTTTTATGAAACTGAATCAGACACAAATCTTTTGATTCCAACCAGCACATAAAAAGCAGATAAATATGAAAACTAAAAGTTCAAAGTTCCTATTTCTGAGGTGCCTTGAATGCTGCATGACACAAACAAACAAATAAGCCTCCACTCCACCGACTCAATAAAGGAGATATTTTATACAAAGTTACTCTTCAATTACACCAAAAAAGCTTACTTATGTATGCAATAATATAAACACTGAAATGTAACCTAACTGGACCAGCAACACAAATGTTAAAGAAATTTGTCATAAAAATTGTGAAATAAATCAACATAAAGTGAAACTTTATGTATGTAATCATATGAATATAATCCTCAGTTAATTTAAGATGGAAAGATCTTAATTAGATTATTGGTCAAATGTAACTAGTAAACCTGTAATTCCAATCAAGTTTCAATCTACACCAAATTCTGCAACTGAAACAAACAGCTGCATTGTAAATGGTCAAAGTTCCACACGGTCCAATATTTTGTCCGTAGTTATATTATATGCAAAACTGAATTCTTTGAGATGCAGAAAACTAGGAAGACCAAAATCCAATCAGTACATTTGTAAAATATTTTCACAAAATCCATTGGTTTTGCCAACCCGTCTAGATGAAATAACATTAAAATATTACTGAGCTGAAATGGATTCTCTGGCTTCGTCCCACAGTCCAAAAACATGGCTGTTCTTTTTGTCTCCATGTGTGTTTGTGCATGGTTGTTTGTCCTGTGTGTCTCTATGTTGCCCTATGATAGACTGGTGACCTGGCCAGGGTGTACTTCACTTCTCAACCAATGGCAGCTAAAGCTATAGACAACAGATGAGTATAATAATGTAATGATACAAGAAGCCTAAATCATGTAGCATTTTAAATATCTAAAAGATAGCCTAAAGAAAATCAGTTTTGAAGTGACAAATCTTCTGTTTCCAAGGTCACTGAGAATAGAATGTCAGTGGGTGTCTACGTTTGTCAACATTTGCAAGCCAATCTACAAAAATGTCCCAACTCACCAGGGTTCTTGGTCTCAAAGTCTGTTTTGCGCTGCAGAGTGGATGGCAGGTCATTGAGGCGAAGCGACAGCTGTCTCTTAAAGGGAGAGTTCTTCTGACTGAGAGCTGGAAATCCCCTGAACGAGCCTTGGCGAACCAGCTGTTCGATGGGTGCGTGGCGGCGAGGGATGGCGTGGGGCCCACCTGGTTCTGGACGCTCCATCTGGGACGCCGTCCCCTCGGGTGGAGAGGCCGAGCCAGGAGGGAGAGCTGGGACGGCAGAGGGCTGATCTGAAGGAAACAACGACTCAGTGATGTATGAGACTCAAACATGCATTCCTGCAATATTTTCCGAATAAGTACATTTGACAGGATTTTGAAGTGACTTTGAATTTATGGTGAGTGGTGAGGACTTGGAGTGGTCTGCTACCTTTCTTTTTATCCTGCATCTTCTCATCTCGCTCACTGCTGCTGCCCTGCTGGCTGGAGGATGAATTGATGCGGAAGGAACCCTCGCGCACAAAGGAGGTGCGACTGGCATCGAAAGAAGCCGTCACGCCACACTCCTTCTCTCTGCGCTGCTTTCTCTCCAGACAGGCAGCGAAGGCACAGCCGACTGCATGGCTCAGTCTCTCGCCCTGGTAGGAAACATTTGAAGAAAAAAAAAAAAAACATAGTACTGTGCATTAAGTCAAACGTTGTTTTGGAAGCTTTGTGGTTCATTCAGTCAACTCTGCAAACCAAAGTCATTAACTCTACGTCTTTTTCAGGAGAAGCTGCTTCCACCTGGCATCCCTTTGCAGATAAACTGTACATGTCAAGTTTTCTTATCAGTGTAATGTAATAAATTACGTCCTTTTAAGGGCTGCAGCACAGTGTGTGCTTTTGGAAATTTCTCTTAACATGAATTTGAGGTTAATTTCCTTAAGGCTCCTCCCAGATTAACGGGAAGAAACAGTTGCTTCTGTCAGGTCGTTGGTTAATCCTGCAGACCAGTGTTGCTCATTTAAACCTTGAGCTACAGCTTCACATATCCACATACATCCTTCAGAAAGAACATCAGCTGTATCCAAAGGTTTCTTTTTCCAACTTACTCAAGAGAAATATATATTTTAAGAGGAAAAAAGCCGACACATTATTTAAAAGTTGACAAAAAATATCTGAAATTTAAAAACAGGACATCAAACTTGATAATTTATTTATTATTGATTGTACCCTGAGAAATTGTAGGTGAAAACTAGTCTACAGGGCTAACTTTGCAATATTTTGAGGTGTACATTGTCGCTTTTGAAATGAATAAACAACAACAAACACGGGAACTGTTTCTGATTATTTAGTCTAATGAAGTATAAAACGTTTCTGTCTTGCTTCCAGAGCTTGACAGTTTGATTCGTCAGATAATACATAGCACTTATTTGTTTGTAATTAGCTTAGATGTAAAGGACCGGGTTGCATTCCCATTTGTGTCTAATTAAGGTAATTGGGATTAGGTTGTAAATCCTTCATGTTGTCAAACATGAACATGAATTAACGACATTTCAAAGAAACCAGTTCTATAGCATTTTCTCCACAAAAATGCCGGATATCTGTCGTCTCAGCAGCTTCGCCGTGCAGAAAGAAAGGAGACAGAAGAGACAGTTTATCTGAAGATGGATGGGTAGAGATATAAAACCAATATGTGATGGAATCAGAGACAGAGACAGATAACCACAAAGGCTTCTGGTTAATCCCGTCCCCTAATCCCGCAGGTCTGTGCTCTGTCCTTCTCTGTGCAGATTATTAATCCTCTCAAACAATTTAAAGCTCATAAAAAAACCCCCACAAAGAAACACAGATTCTCAAGAGATTTGAATTACGTAAGTCAGCATTGGCTTCATGCACTTTAAAAACAATCGTACTTTTAGATGTCGGCGCTACGGATGAATTGGGCGACTTTTCATAGCAACATTAAAGCATCCATCCTAAAATTCGTCTAATTTGCCCTTTAATATGACTTGATCAAAATATTGGAAAATAAACAATACAGTAAAAGAATAACCAAAAAGTCTTGGTAAATAAAATAGTTCTACTTTTCTAGCAGGGCTATTTTCTAGGCTAAATTTATACCCTAGTTATTTGTTTTTTAACCAGAACTGTATTTGTTAACACCAACTACAGATTCTCTAAAGTCCAGTTTGTGATTTACGAAAACTTTGATTTGTAAAATGAAAGCTGAATATACGTTTTCAAAAAGTATTGCTACAAATCCAATCTTGTGAACGCAATGTTGACACCTCATCACGTCAGCTTGACGCATCAATAAATCCTGAGTGTAGCCATCAATTTTCAACAGTGGTTACAAATATGATGTAGACTGGAGCAGCAATCTAAAATCAGTAGAATTTATATTTAAAGAAAAGTAAAGCAGGTTGGAAGAATTGCAGGTGTTTGACGCTGAGCAGCCTCACCGAGTCCTTCAGAGCCATGAAGCAGTGGCACATCCACCGTCTGGTGGTTCCATCTCTGCAGATGTAGGAGAAGGCCTTGTCGTAGTTCCGGTCGGGAGCGCAGAAGGAAACCTTCTCGATGGTCTGGTCCACAATGAGGTCCTGACAGAGGAAGTCAGAGGAAGACAGGAGAGAGAGGCGGCAGGAATCAGACGGGACGTTCCACAGTAAAAACCAGTCAGTAGGCACCGTTTCATTGGATTGTGTGAGGCCTGAAGAAGGAGAAAGAGAAAATCCTGGGCCAAACTTGCCCACTGACTGATCCCGATTACTTGACCTACTGCTTTAGGTCATTGCTTAACTCCATGAAGCTTCATCCTCTCTCATTGCAGAATATTTGCAAACCCGCTGATGACAGAAAAGACCACTAACCACCAACTAATGACACTGACCCTATGAATCTTTGGGTCATCTCCACTGCTTGCCCTTCTTTCTCTGAAAGGGTTATTCAGCTGCTTTCAGTCTACAGTCACTATAGATGAAACTAAGAGGGGGGCCCCTGTCTTTCTCTGTGTACATTAAGGGGCCCCCGGCTCAGCGCTTTGACTCGCACTCAAACGCAGAAAGAGAAAGAAAACAAGAGGCGAAGGGGAGAAGAAAGGGAGCAAGGTTCACACACTCATCCACACACTTCCTTCCTCTCTTTCAGAGTCGGCGAGAAAATAAGAAGGGTAGAGCACAAGGAGAGAGGGAGAGAGAGGGAAGGAAGACTGGAAAAGGGGAGAAAAGGAAGGAGGGATGTGGAGAGAAAGAAGTGGAAGAATAGGAGTCCATTCAATATGGGCCAATTAGTGAATCAAAGGGGATGCTGGTACCAAGGTGAAAGGCTGGGGAAAGACCAGTGTTTATGTGGTAGCATGTGTGTGTGTGTGTGTGTGTGTGTGTGTGTGTGTGTGTCTTTCTTCCTCAGCACACATCCAAAACAATCTGATGATGTTTTTTCTAAGAATTCATATTAGAAGAAGGAAAAAACTGATGTTTGGTTAGGAACAGCACTGCAGCCCATGACTCAGACTGTGTCATCGAGAAACAACTTTGTGATTGAAGCCCAACATTTTGCTGAACAAGCCGAAAAACATAACGATGTTTCTGTTTCTTTGTATTGATTCACTGGGAAGGTGCTGCAGAAGTGCTGCGTGTTGCACACATGCATAAACGAGCTTTTTAGATTTGTTTAGATGTAGGTTTTAAAAAAAATAGTTCAGACTGAGAAAAGATGAAGAAGAGATACTGAAAGGAGGAGGAGAGCATGAGTAGTGATTGCTACTGCACGTTTTTAATAAGACACATTAATTGGTAAGAATTTATCTGTCACTGAGTGAAGAATTACTGTCTGCTTCTATTTTCATTTGCACAAGAAGAGAATCTCCACATATTTACACTGCTAAAAGCTTTGAGCTGAAAGACACCATAAATCTAATATCGATTGACAAACATTATTCACATTTATGCATCAACATCTTTTGGTAACACTTTATGTGACGGGGTATGCATAAGACTGACATGACACTGTCGTAAACATGACATAACACCTGTCATGATGAGGAAGGGGTTTTCATGAATGTTTACGACTGTTGTCACGAAGTGACATTCTGTAAATAATGACACTTTTAATGCAAAGTGAACAATTTTAATGGACTTTCAATGCAAGTTTTAATGCATCCTTGAATTAAAAGTGTCATCTTTTTTACCGAATAATGCAAGGTTGATACTTTTAATGCACTTTTAATGCAAATTTGCATTAAAGGTGTAATTATTTATTGAATGACACTTCATAACAACAGTCGTAAACAGCTTTACAACTATGCAGTCCAAGTCCAAGTTGTCTATAGGTTCAGTCCACTCCAGTTTAATTCAGTTCACTACAGTTTAATTCAGTTCACTACAGTTTAATTCAAACTAATTACAACCCAACCCAACTACCTTTAGGTTAGATATATTAGTAAATGTCAGATTCCCTGTTGTTATGCAAGTTGACAGTTTCCATTAAATCAAGATAATCATAAGCTCCATTTGGAAATGACTGTGATCTAGTCGGCAGTAACTCTTACATACCGTTCCTTTAAATGGCTCAAGCAACTGAGGTGTTCAACATTAACATTATTCCGACACTTAGCCTGGACAGGAAGAGGGATATTATCAAAACAATGCAAAGTGTAAGAAGAAATATAGTCCCCATCTTTGAGGAAACAAGAGCTGAACTCCAGTGTCACAACATTTAATAGCCTCTGCAGACACACACCGAGAGCCAGATCAAGTTTAAAAGTGATATGCTATATGGCTGAAAAAGATAAAGGAGGAGGGAGACGGGAGCCAAAGGAGAAAAGTGTGATGAGGGAGAAGGGGAAGTGAGGCCAACGTGTGTGGTGTCCAAACAAAAATAGTAAAGCGAGGAAACAGAAGTGGCTTCAACAGGCTTTGTTTTTCCTTTCTCTGCTGCTCTTCATCCCGCTTAGCATTCAATAGAGCCGCAGCTATCTGTACTCACTGCTGGAGACCTGCCTCGCTACATAACACCCCCCACACGGGTGCTTGTGTGTCTGTGTGCTTCCTACCAGACATTTATGACACAAACTTTTACACAAACAATCGTTTGGGAAACTGAGGGAGGGTCCTTCTGAAAAATTAAACGATTTCAAGTTTTTATATATAAGAATCTGGAAAAAAAAAAGGGGGGGCGGGGGGGGCTGCAGTGGTACTTAAAGACACTTAAGTCAATAATTTGACCTAGAGTATGCCCAAGTATGTCTCTACCAGCACAGCTAAAAAAATAAATTTCAGTTCATCCTACTTTGCAAGACAGGTCAAACTGAGTCGTACTGCACTGCATTAGTGAACATCAATTTTCAAATTTTGCCATAGATTCTGGTCTAATCTCATTTTATGCCATTCCACTGTGGCTCTGGCTGGATTTAGGGTCATGGCTGTGCTCGAAGGTCAACCTTCACTCCAGTTTCATGTCTTCTGCAGCTTCTACAAGGTTTTCTGCAAGAATTGACTCCATCCGTCCATCTGACCTAATTCCCTGTCCCTGCTGAAGACACACATCAACTATGGGGAATGCACATTTAGGGTGACGTGCAGGGTTAATTTTCCACCAACATGTTTCATTAAGCATGAAGGACAATAACTTCACTTTTCATCTCATCTGGCACCTGAAGATGCAAAGAAGGAACGGGAGGAAACAAGAAGGATGGAACTAGCAGATTCAGGTCAGAGACGAAAGAAAGAAATGTCATCTTACCTTAGTTTTGTCATCAACCACCCTGAGTCCATCAGCTGAAACCCACAGTACTGCTTTTACCGTCTTTTTGCCACTCTGCAAGGGCAAAGAAGAGGCGAAAGAGAATTAATGAAAACTGAATTTGATGGAAGCTAATCTAAACGTTTCATACAGACACCAAATTATCACTACATCCTTAGGGTAGGTGAAGTGGTACAAATGTTTGAGCAGAGTAAAGACTGTTCCAGCTACTATTTTCCATAACCGGACATGCTTAAACAGCACAAATCATTGTATAAGAGCATGAAACATGCAAGCAAGAGATGGAGTGAGAGAAACTGTGCAAGTGAGGGATATGGTGATCTGGAGAACAGCATGGAGTCGGCTTTGAGACTCCGTTTCAACACAATCAGATTGATGCGAGCGAGGATGGGAAAGGAGAACATAGGCCAGCAATGAGAGAGCAGAAAATGGGAGGAGAGCTGAATGCAGAGGCGGAACGGAGAGTCAAAGGGAAAAGACGAATCAGAATGACTGAAAACAGAACATATGTGACTCCGTTTTCCACAATGTGCTCCTTTGAGTTCTTTGGTTACAGAAAAAAACCACGTATGGATTTTGAACAAAGTGACTCCTGTTGTACGCTGCCTTTCCACTATTGCTGTCTGACAGCGACCATTCTGTGTCACCATTTTCACACGCTCCCTGTTTGAGTCCAGCCTCCCAGGAGGGGGGTAAACTCAGTGTGTGTCATTGTGTGTGTGTGTGTGTGTGTGTGTGTGTGTGTGTGTGTGTGTGTGTGTGTGTGTGTGTGTGTGTGGGTGTGTGTGTGTGTGTGTGTGTGTGTGTGTTGTGTTACAGTTCACTTTCTGTTGTCTTTTCCAGCATCGGACTTTATAAAAGCAAACACAAATAAACGTGGACTCAGACCCACCGGGGAGAGTGAAAGCAGCATTGTAAAGTAAACAACAGTAAGGGAAAAATACTGGGCCAGGTTACGTCTCCAAGCTTCATGTGTGGTGTGCGCCTGTATTCAGCAGCCCTGAGCCAATACTTTGTAAAACCAGCTTTCACTGCAATTACAGCTGCAAGCCATTTTTTTTATTTTTTTTTTTTTGCAAGTTTCAACAAATTTGCAAAATAGCTCGAGTTCAGTTAGATTGTGTGAACAGCGGATAACTATTTTCAAATCTTACAATATATTCCTAATTGAATTTCCATCTGAACTTTGACCGTGCCATTCAGTCACACAAACATGATTCGATGTCAACTATTTCATTGCAGTTCTGGCACCTTTACTTTTCTTTTCTGCCTTCCACTTCACAAATATGCCCTACTTTGTGTCGATCTGTCGCTAAAAATCTCAATAAAACCCATTGAGGTTTGCTGTTATAAGAAAATTTGTAAAAGATGACTGGGTGGGAATACTTCGGGAAGGCGTATGAGCACCGGCAAACTCCTCAGGGGTGAACATGCAACTTTGTCTGCACGACAAACTGGAGCTGCAGAATAAATGTGCCAGGATGTGTTTTGAGTGTGAGAGCGTACTTACAACTTTCAGCTTTTTCACAGCTTCCTCACAAACATGCATTCCTCTCGACTCCTCCACCTCGACAAGCCCCAGGTACTGCAGCACAGACAGACAGAAAATTAACATCCTGAGAGGACGTCTACTGTTCCTGAGGACATTTCATCACATGAAGAAGCCGGGGTGACGGAAACACGTCAGAATAAAAATGAGTCAAAAAAAAAAAAAAGCTACTAAAACCTCATTACTTCCAATCAGTATTTTGGTAATTGCGCTGAAATTGTCACATGAGCAGCAAATCTGCATTCACTGTTGGGTTTCCAGATGTATGAGGGTCCTGATAATGAGGGCAGGAAGAGAGCGTGAGAGGGGAACTGAAGTCGGTTATAGCATGTATTCCTCTTTTGTTGTCTCTCCAGTTCTCTGCTCTGTGGTACACTCGGCGCCCATGGGGGCACAATTAAAGTTCTCACAGCTCTGCTAGAGTCAGAAGCCAAGTGTAAGAGGAAGACAGGTTTTAAAATATCTAAGGACAGGGTTTGAAGAAATCTGGTTGCTGAACTGAAGAAGCATGTGCTGAACAACATGCAGCCAAGTCGAGGAGTCTTTTGGGCAACTTCTCTGCTCTAGTTTTGTTGATTGCTTCCTGTCTTATTTTTGGCAAGTGATGAAAATTAGAAAGTTTAGTCACAAATCGATGCAGAAAATGTATGGATGATAACAGTCGAGCAGCACTTTCACCCTTTCCAATTGAAATTAATTTTAATTAAACCAAACGTCAATGTGCATCCAAGTTGTACATGTCGGAATGACCTCTGCAGAATCTTATAAAAGCTCAATAAGGTATTTCTGGTCCAACAGCAAACATATAGGATGGATGATGCTTCACATAAACCACATGCAAAAGTTAATTGAGTTCACCGGCTCCTGGGGAGGCATTAATAGTTCATGACTTGGGAATAAATTTAGAATCAGAGAAAGAAAAAGATGTCTGACGGAACATAAAAGATTATTGTGCTGCCAGCTTTATGCTGCAGTGCAAACCCTCCACATCTCATCATTCATTCAGGAAATTAAGCTCAGCTCAAACTTTGCTCTTCTCCTCTCCTATCTTGTCCAGTGTCTCCCTCTGTTTGCCATTTCCATTCCCAGGACGTGTCTTTGTCCCCTCTGTGTGCCTGTTTCATTCCCCCTGTCATTTCCTGTGGTCTCTGTAATCTGTAAAGCCACCTTGCTGTCACAGCTCCCGCTCTGCCCTCCATCTTTTTCTGTCACTATCTCTTCAGTCCGTCTACAAATCAGCTCTCATACGGCACACGCACGCTCTGAGGAAGGTCGGTCGTAAAATCTGCCCTTTAATAACGCTGCTGTTTGCTTCTGCTCCTATCGAGGTATTCACCTGCAGAGCTGAAGTACGAGGCTCTGTGTTACAACACAACACGTAATGTAAGTATGTGTGACAACGGCAAGCCTCACACAGAAGCAGTTTTATTGAAGCTTCAGCCAGCACAATGTTAGCCATTTTCAAATTCACATATATGTGTGTCATTTATAATGTAACAAAACCTCAAGCCCTTTTAAAGATTTGTTTTACATTTTATCGGAAGACACACTTTTATAATCTTCCTATTCATCTTTTCCAGCAATTCATACATTTAAGGTGTAGCTGAAAATGGAGAAGCTGGTACATTAAAATGTATGAATTAATCATACATTTTAAACCAAATTATGACTTGGTTATTCATCCAGCCATAAAATTTGCCATGGATCATTTAACCTATATTTTGGGTTTAAGCGCTGGATCTATTGCATCCATCTGCTGATGACTGGGGCTTTTAGTAGCTTTAAAAAAAAAGAAAAAAAAAAGATCTGCATTAAATATAAATCAATATCTGGATTTCTGCAGGCTTCACCTGCAGCCCTGAAACTATGATGATTCCCCCCAAAGGCACAATTAGAACAGAAAAGCCAAAAGACCCCTTATTAAAACAGCTAGCTTGCAGAAACCTGGAGCATGTCAATGCAATACATCCACTTTCTACACCTGTTTAATAATATTTAAGGTTGCTGCAGGTAGTTTGTGTCTATCAGCAGACAAAATACCAGAAACCCTATGGCTGCTGATAGGGTAAATCCTGGACAGGTAGTAAGTCCACCACAGGGCAACAAAGAGACATACGGTACAAACAACCAAACACACACTTATACATAAGGGGAACTTAATTTAACTAGCGAACCTAATTGTCATGTCTTTGGACAGTGGAAGAAGTATTCCAATTATGATTTGGTTATTCCTACAGGTTTAGGGTAATTCTTACATAGTATTAAAATTTGACACTTTAACATATTTTTTTGGGTTTGGATACTAACTCAGTTCTTGATCTATCAATATTTGAACTACATTTAAGACTCTGTGAACCCTATTTCTCATTTAAGTTAACGGCAAACTATCATATGATATATTCCATATTGTAGAAAAAAGGGATGTACAAAAACAAACACATGGAAATAAATTAAATATCTACCAACACCTACCCTAACAGCAAAGTTACATTTGCCCTTGCGTACAGCCTCCTCGTCCGCCTGCCACTGATGCGGTCTGCTGGCCTCTGGCACATAGGTGGGCTTCTTCCTCCTCAGACTCTGACGAAGCTTGTTCATCTCCGGGGTCACGTGCTCCCTGGAACTGCAGACACACAGAGCGCACACAGGATCAGCTGCACAGCACAGCGCTGGGTGGCAGTTGATTATCTCCACTTTGGAAGAGAAAACGGTCATCTGACTCGTTTTTATGACTAAAACAGACATTAAAAAGTGGGATGAGCTTCATTGATTAGCTTGAGCTCGTTATGGGTGTAACCTTCCCTAACGACGCAGTCAATAAATCAACAGCAAAACACTTTCCATCGTGTTGCTCTGTTCAGATCCAGAGACAGGCTGGAAAAGTCCCACGGGTGACACAGATGTAGGAGCTGGCTTTCATCTATCACAAAAAAAAAAAAAAAAAAAAAAAAACAAAAAAACCCGGGACAAAAAAAAAAACCCCCCCCACCCACACAACAGGAA